ACACAAAAACGCAACATTTATATAAATTATAAAATGTAGAATATTAATCTATATATATATATATATGGATTAATAATTCTATATTTTATGTGTATATATTATATAAATTAATTAAATACTTCCTGCTGTGCTATGTAATCAACATTTCTCTAATGGCCTTAAAAAAAAAGAAAATGAAGAACATGGTGAAATCTTGTCCGATTGATTGTTTTCATGAAAAATTGTCATACCACCAACGTAATCTACGTTGTTATAGGAACAAACCAAAAGCTGTTCGCGTTCAAAAGATAAAAAAAAAAGATTATGTAGTTAAACACACATGGGGACATGTGCATATTATCCAATAATAATAATTAAAAACTGTATACATACACATATATATATATATGTACGTATTTACATACATACATACATGTTGTGTAATAATATTAAGAATGATAGTTAAACATATATAGATAAATAGATAATTGATAAGAATTTTCATCTAATACGGGATTCCCTCTTTTATGTTTTGTGGTTTTTTTTTTTTTTTAGGATGATTGATACTATCAATAATTAGTTAAACAAATTTTTTTTTTTTTTTTCAAATATTCTTTTCAAAAAGAGAAAGAGTTGAATACAAAAATCATTTGTTTCAGAGTTTGATACCTATATATATATATATATATATATTAAATAGAAATATAATTAAATAATTAATCCCACCGTTTTTTCATAAATAATTTTACAAATTTATTCTCTACTTTCATTTCATGTGTTATTTGTTGTCATTTATTATTATTATTATTTTTTTTTTGTTTTGTTTTTTAATATATCCACATATGATGTATATATAGTCAATCATATCGTTGATACAATTTCTATTTATCTTTATATATTTATATATAATATATTGTTATATTATTTGTTAGGTATCATTCTCTCTATAATATATCTCTCTATTTCTATCTCTATCTCTATCTGTCTCTCTCTCTCTCTCTCTCTCTTTCTGAATAATCAATTAAATAAACAAATTTTGAATTATAAACAAAAATAATGTATAGACAAAATACAACTATTTTTATTTTTTTACTGTAAATATTGAAATGGGAATCAAGTTAATCGGACAGCTAATTTAGGGTATGGAAACTTGTATACACCAAAGTTATTTATAATAATAATAATAATAATAATAATAATACTTATAGGGTCTTAAACAACACGGCTTGATCATTGGTTCGCAAATATATATATATATATATACATACATATTATTTTATTTAAACTAAACAATACTATAATTAGTTCTGAAAAATGAAATGAAATATTAACCCCTTAAGCAGCAATGATTTTGAAATAAAATAAAAAACGGCGGAAAAAAAATCATTTTTTTTCTTTTTTGTATAAAAACATAGTTTAGAAGATTGTTTTAACAAAAAAAAAATACAGAAATAATGAATATTTTTATGTTAATTTTGGATTTTGTTTCACGTTGACAGAGAAGAGCCAAATTATTGCAAATGTTACACGTACGTCGACTTTTTTGTTTCAATCTTTCTTTTCGAATTACTATTTTGAAAAAAAAAACGATCCTCTTTCTTTGATTTCACATTTTTATGTTCAATTTTTGTATTATATTTAACTGTAAAAAAAAAATCATAGAAATATAAAATAATAACAGTACCGCTCGTGTTAACTCGAGCGCGCGGAAATTCGACCGATGCTGTTTAAGGGGTTGTTAAAAATCCTCTTTTTTTTATTTCATTTTTTTTTTTTTTTTGACTATGTATGTTTTACATTTTATTATCTGCAAACCAATGAATAATTTAAATATTATACATAATTATTATGACTTAATTAAATAGCTTTTACGTTGTCCTCTTTGTAACCACGGAATAATGTTCCTGTCGTCATGAAAACAAAACAAAACAAAACAAAACAAATGAAAAATAAAAATTACATGACGATTTTATTTCTGTTCCTGTATACGATAGAGATAATACTATACTTATTAAAAAAACAAAAAAAAAAAATTAAAAAAACAACCCCTAACTAAGATGATCTTTGCTCTTATGCTTATACTGTGTAATTTTATGCTAAAAACAATGTGCATTATATTATACAATAACAACAACAACACAATCACAATCATTTATAGAACAAATGTAAAGGTGCAATTGTGTATTTGTATGCGGAAAATATCCCTCTCCCACACACTCATCCTCAGCGACAGGATAGTGGATTTATGGTGAAAGGGATGTGTTCCTTTAAATTACAAAATAAATAAATAAATAAAATACCATGTCAGTACATTATATATGCAATATGTTTATGTATTATATCATCTATGTATGTGTGTATGTGTGTTGTGTAGGTAGGATATCTAATTAAAAAAATTAATTAATTAATTAAAAAAAAAAAGATAAAACGATGAACAATTTCTTTTCGTTTTGTTTTTTTTGTTTCATCGTAATTTAATTAAAAACAAAACTTATGTTGTTGAATTGTGAAAAATACTTGAAGAATATATTTGAAATGGTACTTAAGTTGTACTTAAGTTGTTATCTCAACATAAGTTATTTAAATAATATATTGAGTGATAAAAATGGCTGTTTTATTATCATAAATGAACAAACAAACAAACAAACAAAAAATAAATGATATGCCTTTATACATTAAACATTTTGCATATTAAACGTACTTGTATAATGGTTATTATGTAAATTACTATTGTATACAGAAAAGAAGTGAAATAAAATATGCTATCTCTTAATGGAGTCATTTATTTTGATATTTCTCTCTTTCACAAAAGATCATGTTTTATTGTTTTCCTCCCATATATATTTATATTAATTAATATTCGTATATTTAACCCTTGTACCAATAGAAACAACACTCAAGTCAGACTTGTAATAAGACGTGTACACATTCTGTGCACAATTTTGAATGCTTTAAACAAATCTTCAAATGATTTTACATGTAACCAACCTTTTTGAATGATTTAAACAAATCTTCAAATAATTTTACTTACACGTAACCAACCTGTTGATTGCTTGCTGTATTTTACCATTGAAACTTAAATTATAAGACAACGGGAAGGGGGAGTTTAAATGTAAACTAATATTCAAATATATTATAACTACCATAACAATCACCATGCTAATCATTTGAAATATTTTAATAGATAAATTAATTATTCATTTATTATAATCATTAAAAAAAAAGAAAAAAGAAGATTATTAATAATACTATGTCTCGTCTGTGAAATATGATGATCAACATTCATTCATCGATTTACTGTTGTTTTATCCCTCAATAGTTTTCACGTGACATCAACGTAATGTCTGCCATTAGACAGTACGGTTTTAAATTAATTCTATTTATGTATCAACGATTAATTGATTTTCATGTAAAACTACTTTTTCTCCAGGTTTAAATGCTGGCATACCAAGGTAAGGACAACTCGCACAACGAAAAGCATCACCTAAATAACACTGTAATAATGAAAATAATTTTGATAAAAAAAAAAAACAGAAGTATACAATTTTGGATTTATACAAGAAAAAAGACAATTACATACATTACCACACGATGATTTTTGAATTCCTTGATTTTCAGCCTTACCATTTAATTCTTCTGCTAATCCACAAGAACAATCCTTGCATGCTTTTCGTTTACCTGTCGTACCACAGACTATAAAAAAAGAAAAAAAAAAGATAGAAATGTTTAAATATATAAAAACAGAATTGAGATAAATAAATAATGATAGTAGAATATTTTGATAATAAGAAACCTTTTAAACTTGTAATATCTGGTTTGACGATGTCATCTTCATCTAAAAGTTCATCCTCGTTTATTAAGTCATTCTCATCTGTTAAATTATCTTCTTCTAAGTAATCTTCGATATTGTTTAGTTTCCATACGTTTGTTTGTTTTGTTTTGAAAGTTAAAGGCATGCTGGATCCAATCTGTAATGATTTCATTTTATATAATATAAAATAATATATATAGAATATCACAATCAGTCCGATACACACGTCTTTAGGTCAATTGCAATTATAAATTGAGATATAAACTATCCTATCTTTCAAGTTGGATGAAACTGCACACTGTGTGCAAAATTTTATTATAATCGGTTCAGTAGTTAAGGAATCCATTGCGGACAAACAACGTGACACGTAATTTATATAAATTGAGATATAAACTATCCTATCTTTCAAGTTGAATGAAACTGCACACAGTGTGCAAAATTTTATTAAAATCGGTTCAGTAGTTTACGAGTCCATTGCGGACAAACAACGTGACACGTAATTTATATATATATATAATAATAATAATAATAATAATAATATATATATAATAAATATAATGTAATATAAATAATATAGAATGTAATATAATATAATATAATATAATATAAAATTATTATTATATTTAAATATTTTTTAATATATATTATATTCTTATAATATTATATATATTATATTATTATATTAAATTAAATATTATATTAATACATTAACACTACCCATACTGTATCCATAAATTCCAATAACATTTTAAAACTTACATTTTATGTTTATTACTGTCACAAATGAAATGTAATAATATAATATATATAATAATAATAAATAATATATAATAATATAATATAATATAATATAATGTAATATAAATATAATATTATTATTATATTTAAATATTTTTTAATATATATTACATTCTTATAATATTATATTATATTATTATATTAATACATTAACAGTACCCATACTGTACCCATAAATTCCAATAACATTTAAAAACTTATATTTTATGTTCATTACCATCACAAATGAAATGAAGAATCTTAATGAAAATTGGTGTCTGAGACTGTTAGTGAAACTGTTAGTGAAACTAATCTTATTAAATTACATCTAAATATTACATAATTACCTCAAAGGATGGTTTCTGTGCAATTATCTCATAAACATTAGAAACATCTTCGAATAAATTAGGCAGTAGTTCAGCAATCTCAACATCTAACTTTTTAGGTTGTGTATCTTTTACTATAAAACCAGATAGCTTTAATTTTGATAATCTATTCTTAAATGTTGTATCAGACTCTGGTGTACTTTCTAACAAAAGTGGCTCGTAGATTATTAATTTTCCATTGACTTTCAATAATTTTAACAATTCTACGAACATTTCGTTATCATGTAATAATGGTTTCTTGAGAACCAATATAATCACATCGATGGAAGATCTGTTGTAGTTGGCTGTAAAATAATTTTAATATATTACATTGTTTTATAATATAAGAATTCAAATTAAAGTTAAGTGTGTCATGTTTTTTTTTTTCAATATTATTATATTATGAAGAACAGAATGTAATGTTAACATTTGTTTATCATTTATTTGATCATTGTGTACTTCAAAGCTTGTAAAAATATGCAATTACTTTCTGTTTCTTTTATATGTACCTTTTTTAACTTCATTTGTAGGGATGATTGAAATTTGATCGATCTTGCAGACAAGGGTTTTGATCTTGCTATCAAAATTCGATATTCCATCAAAAGTAACCTCATCACCTAACAGTACGAGAACTTGATCCTCACTTTTAATAATGTTAGTCATTTTTGATTATAATAAATTAACCTTTTATACGATAGAAAATATGAATTAATAAATATTTATGTAAAAAAACTTTATAGAAAGATGACAACACAGTTTAAACACTTCGTAGACAACTAGATAATGCGTAATATGATGCAAGTGATTTTAGAAACGAAACTACAGAGATAACAGCTGACGTTGTAATGCGCGATCCAAGCGGACAAAACTAAAACTACAGACGCCATGTTGTTACACCGTACGCGCGGAAAATTTAAAATGCAATAAATAGATTATAGATTTACCAAAAATAATTAAGATATTAATGATAATTATTAATTCATGTTTATGTATATATAGATAGATTTTTTTGTATATTATCATAAAAATTAATCACAATTAAATGTATTTTTAATTGTAACATATTACACGTTTAATATCTTTATAAGTACGAATTAATAAGTAACCACGATTGGTTCGTGTATTTTATTGGTATTTAATGATTGTATATTAAAATATATTCGTAGAATAAAATATAGATATTTAAATTTGTATTAAATTTGAAATCATTATAAATAAAATATTTGAAATAGATAATAGTGTATATATAAAATGGAAATATCGAGATGGCAGTAAAACTTCCACTTCCGTTGAAATTATACGATACACATATGCTCTCTTCAGTTCTTCCCTTATACTTTACCTTTTAAAATAGGTATAGTAGAGTGTATCTTTAACAAAAACTAAAAGAATAAATTATTGAAATTTTAACTTTAGTAATATCAGTGTTTGGCTCCCCTGAATTTCTGTAGTGGTTAATAGTGTGTACCACTGATTTGTTCCTGCGAATAAGAGTTTACTTTGCATACACGTTTGTATTGCGGTACGTTATACCGCGGATATGGTGGTAATAAAAGGTATTGCTCTCTCTCTAACAAAGGTAGTAATAATATTTATGAATACCTTGCAATATACGTATTAAATAACTTTCAATGAAATGTATTATTAAATTATAATTATCTGATAGTTCATTAAGATATTTTAGAATACATTCATTCTCTACTACAATTTATGTGTCACCTTATTAAATAATATTCTTTAAATTTTCTACTTTCTAAACAAAATAAACCTAATGTGATAGTTAACATTTCTATCAGGTTAAATAGAAAAAAAAAAAGTAAAAAATAAAAAAACAGTGCTAAAGTTAGCTAATAATACTAATTAAAAAATACCTGAACAAAATATTCTCTGACACATACTTACATACATACACAAAAATGGATGTTAATAAAGTTGATGAAGATAATCCACGTAGTATCAACGATGGTGATTGGGTCTGTCCAGATTCTCAGTATGTATTTTATAATAATTTATATGTCATTTTGAATGAAATTATTTTGTATTTTTATGGTCATGTGTAATGTAATACAATTATTTTTGTATCACAGGTGTGCTAATGTCAATTTTGCAAGACGAAGCTCTTGTAATCGTTGTGGAAAAGGTATACATACATTTTTATCATATTAACTGTATAATTTAAGTATTATTATTGTTTAATACAAAGACAATATTGTTTGTTCAAACATATATGTTATATCACAAAAGTATATTCTGTACATTTGAAATTTTTTTTATGTCATGACAATAATTAATGAAAGTTTGTTAATACAGACAGAGGTGAATGTACAAAGAAGAAAAAGTTGGGACAAGAAATTGGTAAAGCAGCTGCAGAAAAAAGTAGAGGATTGTTTAGGTAATCTTTTAAATGATAATTCAAAATGTTTTAGATTCGTTTACACTTTTACATTGAAATACAATCTTTTTAATTTCTATTAAATTTATGTAAATTTGATGTTACAGTGCAGATGATTGGCAATGTAGCAAATGTGGTAACGTGAATTGGGCACGTCGACAACAATGTAATATGTGTAATGCACCTAAATTTGGTGAAATAGAAGAACGTACTGGATATGGTGGTGGTTACAATGATCGGGGTATCGTTGAATATAAAGAAAGAAGAGAAGATGACGATGATTATGATGAATTTGGTAGACGTAAAAAAAAGAGGAAGATTGAAAATCGTTCTGACGATGATTCTAAAGATTCTAGGTACAACAGTCCTTCTCATTGTAAAGCCAAAGAAGATGAAAAAGATGAGATAGCTGAGGAAGAAGTAGAAAAAGTTAAAGAAAATGTAATTTCATTGTTTATTCATCAAATTATTATTATAAATTTTGTTTAGAATTATTTTATTAAATGATTTTATTGTAGGATAATGAAGAAGAAGAAGAAGAAGAAGAACAAGCAGAAGAAGAGGAAGAAGAGGAAGAAGAGGAAGAAGAGGAAGATGAAGAGGAAGATGATGATGATGACGATGGAGATTTATCAAAATATGATCTTAGTGAATGGGACACCTTGGGAGCAGTTAAAAATAGGTAAATAAATGATACATCATTTGTTATTATTAATATGATTAATTTTGGAACTTTGTAATATTTCAGCACAAATGGAAATACAGTTACTTCGGAAGAACAACGGTCAAGGTAATGAGGGTAATGCCATAAAAATTATTTTGCATTATTTTGTGGATTGAAATAATCAACTTTGTTGCATTCTTTAATTATTTCTAATTATAATTGTGTCTCAAATGAAACAAAACTCTTCATTTACATTAATAAGTATTAGAATGCACTGTATTGGTCATTTCTGTCTAATAATATGATTTTAATCAAAGAAACTTCTTATTATTATTTTCACTGAATATATATTGAATTATTTAAACTGTATAATATAAGAATTGTAATACTTACAGAAATGGAGATGATTGGCGTGATTCAGGTACATCCAGCCACTGAGAAGTTATGCAGAAGGACAGGTTTGACATGGGTTTTAGGGATAAAAAAAAAAAAAACTGGTTCTTAAAAACATCAATAAATAAGTTTCTTTTGAATGCTATTATATCATTTTGCAATGAGATCATAATTTTGAAATGAAATGAAATGAAATGAAAGTTATTCAATTTACATTTTTATTAAATAAAGATATAAATTTGTTGTTATTAAATAAGAAAGAATAATATTTAGTAAAGTATTCATTCTTTTTTATTTTTTTTCTTTTTTTTTTTTTTTAATATAAATATTTCTTAAACTTATTAAAATATTACTTTTACAGGCAGAAGAAAATACTTGGAGCAACAACAACAACAAGTACCCAACTAATAATGCGACAAGTTTAGTGATTTAGTGAGCACTTTTGAAATTAAGTGGAAGATGATAATATAAAACTTCTTGCAAAAAAGGAAATCGATTGATGTTAAGCTTTATATTTGTGATCAAATTAATAGAAAGAATGATGATAATAATGATCATGATAATAATAATAATAATATGAAAGAAAATACAAAAAAAAAAAAAACTAACTAAAACAACAGATTGTTCATCTACGCAATATTTGTCATTTTGCATGATTCAATGCAAAGAAAAATTTCTAAATCATTAATTAAAGCGTAGATCTCAAAATTCTTTGCTAGTCAAAAAAAAAAAAAAGATTCTATAATTTTTGGTGAATCCCCTCTCTCATAGATACAATTTATCTTAGATAATTGACATAAGGAATATATACGATATGTTATTTATAAAATTGATTAAATATTAATGGAAAATTTGTCAAAGCTTTGCAAAAACAAAAACAAAAACAGAAGAAGATTTCAAAGCACAAAAGATAATTGTAATTGCTTCGAATTTTCAATTGTGTTATTAATTACAAATGCACTAGGTCAATGTAAACAACATATCACACTGCTTAAAAAATTGCTCTCAGTCTGCTTTTATAATATTTTATTGTTCACCCGCTTGAAAGAATATTTTGTTTTTCGGTCTCTATTATTTCTTTTTTTCTATATATATATATATATCTCTCTTTCTCTCTCTCTCTTTCTCTCTTCTCTATATGCATAGAATATCCGAATAACTATTACTGTGTAGTATTAAATGAATCATTCCCTTATTAATGAATTCTCAAAATGTGTTCGCGTCACACATCAGATTGAAAAACAAAAAACAAAAAAAGAAAAACAAGATTATGGTGTGTTTATCCTTAAAATTAAGATTAATAAGTTATATATGAATGATTAAATATATAACGTAAAAAAAATTTCTTTCTATATTCGTTGCGTATAAACAAACAATCTTCATCAAAAAAAAAAAAAAAAAAAAACAAGAAAATATCTAAAAGAAAAGAAAAGATAAATTAATAACGGATATATAATTCACAATGTCATAATGACTTCTTGTAAATATCTTTATTTTTCATTTATAATAAAAATCATTCGTCAACAACATAATTGTTTTTAGTCAATTACTTTTTTTTTTTTTTTTTTATATAATCATTATAAACTACATGGGGGTCATGATTATGCACAGAGTTGGTCACAAGGAGGATTTGGTGAGGAAGTGTGAAAGGGGGTGGGGTGGGAATGGGCGATATTGTAAGGATTATGTTGCAACAGGTTTTATATATGTATACATATGCGTATATATATATATATATGTATATATATACATATATACGTTTGTATTTTAGGTATTTTATGCATGTATGTATGTATTTATGTATATATGTAATGTATGTATATATCGTATGTATGTACAATTATGAAATTGAATTTGTAACGTGTGTGTTTTCTTATTAAGTATTTTTCTTTTTGTTTTCTTCTTTTTTTTTTTTTTCTCACTGATAAAGGAAGGATGAATTATTCCGGCACCGGTGTACTTTATTTTTCTTTTTTTTCTTTTATTTTCGTTTTTGTCTTCTTTGTCTTCTTCTTCTACTTCTTCTTCTACTTCTACTTCTTCTTCTTCTTCTTCTTCTTGCTCGTTTAAATTTGTTCCTTGGTTGTTTTTTTCTTTTTTCTTAATTCGAGAACAATTTCTCTTTCAAACGACACTACGCGAAACAGTGTGAAAGAGAAAGGAGAATGAGACACTTTTCTTGAACTTCATCTTTTTAATATTCCTTTTCCTTTTCTTTTTCTTTTTCTTTTCTTTTTCTTTCTTCTTCTCCTTCAGAATATATATCAATTATTCTTACCTATAAATCATCATCGTACATTCCAATCGTTGATATAACGATTATTAATTATGAAAAAATCAGATTTTACATCAGTATTTACATAGTCACGTTGACATAGTCAACGCACACTGTTTTATGTGTTTTATTGTATGTGTGTATGATGTGTGTGCGCGTTAAAATGCGCGTGTGGTTGTGTATGTTGTGCGTGTTCCCTCTCTATTTTCAGGAACGTTTAGAATTTACAAGTGTATCGATACTTAATAATAGGGAAGGGATTTATAAAAAAAAAAAAAAAAAAAAAAAAGAAAAAAAGAATACGATCGGGAAACATATCTTCATACCATTGAAAATAACAGATATAAGAGACCTAAAAGGGTGTTTTTAAAAATACATAAAATGCTAAACAGATTTAGAAATAAAGAAGTCCCTTTTTTTTGTAGGGTGTAACATATTATGCATATAACACAGTATACATATATATATATATATATAAAAAAAAAAAAAAAAGAAAAAAAAAATTAGAAACAATTAAACGAGAGGAGAATTATCTTCTCGCTACATGCCAACCCCTGCAGGCATTCTCTTATAACACATTGTTATTATACTTTGTATAATTATTTAATGGACGTTGAAATCATAATAATATTTGTTTGTTTGTTTGTTTTTTTTGTTGTTTCTTGATGTTATAATCATTAGCAAAACAGACTTTCAAAGATTTGTCAAAGTTATAAATGATGGGATTATTCCTTATTTAATGAGTAATTGAGATACAAAGATCATCAGAAAAATGATCACAGTTTCTCTTACTCTGACATTACAATAATCATGTTATTTATTTAGGCATGAAGAACTGTTGATGTGAATGTGAATTAGGTGGTGGATGTAAATTAGGGTGTGGTGGCCCACTACCTCTTGTTCCAGTGGCATAAAGCTGTTGTTGGAAGTGATGGAACTGTTGAGCATAATTAGGATCCGACATATTCGGACCACTACCCACGAATGGACTGTTTTTAAAATTACTCGTAGTGCCACCCATACTTGGAGGTAGTGGTTGAGTAGCATCAGGAGGTGGTCCCAATCCCATAGGACTACCTTTACTACCAGATACATACATACCCGGATTTGATTGATTAGGTACCTGCGATACCATATCAGGTGGGAAGACTTTATCAGGATCCATAGAATTGCCTGGAAAAACGCCCCCACCAACCATATACTGCATACGCATTACGTTAGGTTGAGGCCGCATGTTACTAACTGGTCTCATAGAAGGATGTACACCAACTGACGTATTCATTGGCTGTCCATCCATTCTTGGGGACCCTCCCATACCAGGAAGTCCAGCATTCATTGTGGATGGCATTCCACTATGTGGACCCATATTATTTGGTAAACAACCATTTGGGAAGTACTGAAGATTTACCGAAGGTGTGGGCATTTTAGATTCCAAATTAGATAAGGGATTAGTAAATCTGTGAAGAAATTCCAAACTAGGTGGTCCTCTAGGCGCGTGTCCCACGTTGGGCCTTGCTGGTAGATACTGTATAGTATTTGGAGCATTAGGTTTTACTTGAACGTTTGTTCCATTGTAAGGATTCGGTCCTGTGACATGTCCCGTCATCAATCTTGGCGATGGCGCGTGAGGTTCACCTCCTGGATATCCGCTACCTTGACCTCCCGAATGGCTACTCATTATTCCATGACCCATCATAGGATGTCCCATTTTACTAGGAACCCCTGGACTTCCAGTATGCGTAGTAGTAGGACTGTAGCTTGTCGGTGGTCCTGCTAATCCCATACACATTCCACTGACTTCACCTGGTTCACTAGTTGGACCACCCACGTGACAACCTCCATTCATTTCACTATTCATTTGTATCATGTGAATACCATGTGGATTGCCAAATTGCATCATTCCAGGATTACCAGAATGTATCGGACCTTCGTTACCTAACGAATTACTCGTGGCTGTATTTGTTAGCTGTTGACTCATTTGTGCTAACGAACTTATAGGATCAAAATGGTTTGTATTTGCTCCACTCAAATTACCCAGCCTGCTAGCGATATTGTTGGGATTAAGAGGCACATTGTCAGAAGGTTGACTCACATTTATAGACGATCTGGCACAAGGGAAAGAAATTCCTGGAGCACCCAGCGAAGGCACTACTGTTGTGTTTCCAGGATTATTAGAATTTACTTGTTGCTGCTGTTGTTGTTGTTGCTGCTGCTGCTGTTGTTGCTGTTGTTGTTGTTGTTGTTGCTGCTGTTGCTGCTGCTGCTGTTGTTGCTGTTGCTGCTGTTGTTGTTGCTGTTGCTGTTGTTGCTGTTGTTGCTGCTGTTGTTGTTGTTGTTGCTGTTGCTGCTGTTGTTGCTGCTGTTGTTGTTGCTGCTGCTGTTGTTGTTGTTGTTGTTGCGATTGTGACTGCTGAGATTGTTGTTGTTGATTATCTTTAGATAAAGGAGGTGATGTGTCAGGTTTTGTCGTGGGTGATGCTTGGACAGCTCGCGGTGGTCCCATACTATCTGATACACTAGTATTATGCGGCGCAGGACTACTTTGAGCACTAGCACTCGATTTATTTCCTGGTTTTGTTGAATCAGCAGGAGTATGGGGAGCACCACTTCCAGGAGTATGCGGTGTATGTGGCGTGTGAGGACTATGTAAAGAGCCTGTAAAACCTCTATTCATACTATCCATTTGAACTGGACTTGCAGCTTCTGTTCGTGCTGGAAATTGGTTGTTGTTATCCATATTTCCTGACAATATCCTATTTGATATTTCTGGATTATTACCATTATTTCTAAAACGAACAATATTTATTATTAACAGTGGGGAATCAAAATAAGGTCATAATAAAATGAAGCTTTTGCAAAAAGAACAACGTATTCAATATCATTATAAACTTACGCAGACAAATTGCCTTCTTTAAGACTGGTATTAGCTTGCTTTTGTATTGTTAATTCTTGTCCCTCAAATGTGTTGTAATACTGAATTTGTTGAGGACTAGGTACAGGCATAAGATTTGCTTCTTTTACACCCGCCGCATTCACTGTTCCACTATGCTGTTGTTTTTGTTGAGCTAACGATTGCAATGTTCGACAAAACATTCCGTCCACTACATTAAAAAAATGAAGAAGAAAATGATATGATATATTTTAAACGATTTAATTATGATTATAAATGAAAAATAACTTACCATTTGGTGGTTGACTTGTGGGAAAATCAAGAGAATTATCCTTTTGAGGAGCATTAGGACTTAGGGCAATAATATGAGAATGAGAAACTGGTGTTCCAGGATTACTATGATTTAATCGTGCACTCGAGACAGCATTTGAACCAACTGTAGGATTTGGAGAATCTTGACTGGTCGGACTTTGTCCTGGCAAATGTCCACTTCTTTGATTACCAAGTTGAAATTGTCTGTTACAATCAGCTGGCGAATTCAAAGCTGAGCTCGCACGAGGCGATGGTAATGATAAATTACTAGTGGGATTGTTAGGAGATGATGGATTTGGACTTTGAATTGCAATTGGTACACTCGCAGATCGTGTTGTTTGATGATATGGCGGTGGTGGTCCTTGACTGCGTGGAACTCCAATCATATTGGCACCACGTAATGGAACCGCGCCAGGACTACCAACACTTGCCTAAAATAAAAATAATTAAAGCTATTGATGTAAAATGAATTATTAGCAATATTTACCTTATTTTTGTTATCCAAAAATTGATGTTGTAATTTGTGCCAATCCATACTGGGAGGACATTGATTTGGTACACCAGATGGGACATTCGTTTGAGGACATGATGATACCGGTGTTCCTTGAGTACCATCTAATGCATTTGAAGAATCTTCTTTATGTTCAGGAAATAACATCATTTGCATTTTTCTAATAGTTGCCAATTGAACTTCTCTATGTTGCCTTTGTTGTGGTGTTAGATTCTCATCTGGCACCTTAACACCCTGTAACGATGGCTGTAAACTCCCTGGACCTGGGCTTGTAGTACCACTTAGCAAACTTGGACTGTGACCCATTGTTGCATTATTAGATGGTTGAGGATTAGCTAAAATATCAAATTTAATCATAAAATAATAGTACTGTATAATGTTTTAGATTTTTGGTTTGTTTCTTTGATTGTGATTGCAATAATATTGAAATATTAAAATTACCTGAATTACTGGGTGAATTCGGCACTAGGCAAGAAGGCACATTTATATTTGTATCATCTAATGATGGCTCTGAATTTCCGAGAGAATTGCCACCATTTAAGTTACGTATATTAGGTTCGTTCCAAAATTGTGGAGTATTTGGATCAAGTGCTGGTAGATCGGGAGGTTGTTCAGTTGGAAAAGTAGTAGTCGAACTACCTTGATGACTTTTTTGTTTCATTATAGCAAGATTATTCAACCATTGTGCTGGATTTTGTCGAAATTGATTCATTTTATTTGGATGCTTCTATGGAAAATATATATTCCATACATTACAAAATACATTATGAGATAACAACAAATTCAATTGAATAGAACATTAACAATCAAATCTACACATTATAAGATTATTATACCTCCAAATATTTTTTTGTGCCAGGTTGTGCACAATGATAAGCGATAATAGTTGAATATTGTCCTTGTAGAACCGCTTCAGCACTTTTGTTAGCTAATGCCGTGGAGAAGACAAAGATTTGACTTTGTTGTTGCATATATTGTGCTTCTCCACTACTCGTACTAGTGCCTATTTGTTTTCCAAGAACGTTGCTAACAAGTGGTTGTATTCCATCGTTGGTAATAACATTTTCACTGCAATCTATTAAAATAAAGAATATTTTTGTTAAGTATAGAGATATATATATATATATATATACATGTATATACATGTCAATAAGAAAATAACATATTCAAAAGATTACATAATACCTGGCAAATCATCAGCTGGGTTATTGTGATCGCTTTCTTGTTTGACAGAATTTAGAATCGGTTGATTTCCATTACTACTTTGATTCTCTACAGACATTGTTCCATCCCCACTGGTAGGATCCAAACAAGGATCTCTTGGACACTCTGTTGTATCTTCACCAGAAACATCCTCGTTATTACCACCAGTACCTTCTTCCTTGATCTTGACAGAATCGGTATCGGGTTCCTCCTTGACAACAGTTGTAGGTACGCAACTTGGCTCACTTGTCTTTTTCTCTGTTTTCATGTTTGAAGTATTGCGTATGATAAGTACAATGTCAGACGTTGGTAGATAATATAAGGGCCAGATGCATGGCCACTAGGATCCCGCAGAACGCGGAATTATTGGAGGTTATATCAATGAAAAAACATTCACTAGTTAAACTAAAGTCCTTGATTAATAATATATATATTTGAATATTATCCTTGAGGAAAGCATGGCCGTGAAGTTAATTCTTCCCGGTATAATAAAGTTATATATTAACGAATAAAAAATTGTATTTTTTTTTAAACATTTAATGAAATGAAACCTAATATATTGGTTCGACGACTTAGTACTCGATTTATGTTGTAAGAATACAACCGATACGAGTATGCTAAGGTAAAGGACCAATATCAAGATATTGTAAGTAGGAAAATATCCAAATGTCAGCCTCGATTCCACAAGAAATACATAACGCACCTTAAATTATTACATAGTAGAATACACCACGTTACATCGCGGAAGACCTTTTGAAAACATACGAACAAGTCTAATACACCCCGTTAACTATTTCTCTCGCGATATTTTCGAGCATTGTTCGTTCAACTTTATTTGTCACTTCATGGTCGCTTTGATTATTTATTTCTTTTACGCACGGCTGCCAACTGCCCGTTTAAGTTAGACAGCCTTTTAATGCACTTCGGACAAGGAACTTCTTCTGCGTCTTCGTTGGATAAAGGAAGACAGAAAAAGTGCATAGCCGTACCTGACTTCTTCTCCTTATACACTTGATCTCCCTCACTTACACAGACGGCTTACTATTTTGGTCTTTCTTTGGTTATATTTTCACCTGCTTCTTATACTTTTTTTCATAAATCTCTTATTTTCAACTTTAATACACTTTGGTTACATTTTAAGTAACAAAGAAGATTCAATTTTTATCATTTACGTTATTGGAACGTTACATTTTATTTCACACGGAATCCAAAGCTGTGAAATTAAATTTGGAATACATGAAAGCAGGGCCGGAACCAAAGATATTAGCACCTACGCACTTTTATCCTACCACATCCTTAATGCTGATTTCTATTTAATATTAACCTACTATTTCTACTATCTACTTTTCTATGAAGATTATTTCTAGAAACGTGTATAAACAATATTATTTTTATAACTCGTTACGTACGTATTCATTTTATAAATAAACGCATTTTCTCTTTAAATTCTTTCTTTTTTTCTTTTTTTCTTTTCTTTTCTTTACTAACTACTTTTAATTAATTATTTTTTGTTTTTAATCAAAACAATGTTAAAATGTGTTGTTATTATTAATGAAACTTTTGAAACAAAAGTTTAATGATGTATATATATATATATATATATATATATATATATGTATATATACATGTACATATATATATATATATATGTTTTTATATGATAAAAATTGAAGAAGGTAATCGTTGTTATTAGAAATGTATAAATATACAGATTTATATTAAATAAATTTTTTTTACTAACCCTAATATTTTTAACCTAATTAATATTGCTTCATAGACCTTTTTATTAATAGGTTAATATATCATTATGTTACAAACTTACACTATTAAAAAAGTACTTTGAATATAATTATTCTTTTCTGAATTGTCGTGATGTAGTATTGCCAACATTAGGATATCAATCGTGGTAGTTGTGTTGCGCCACTGACTCACGTATTTTTTTTTTAACGTTGCTATTTCAAGGCGGTTTTTTTTCCTTTTTTTAAAAATATTTTTACAAATATATCAATTATTCGAATATTTTTTTTTTCTTTTATATAAATTATAACAAAAAAATATTAAATTATTATTTAATTTTTTTTTTTTTAATTGTAATTATTGTAAATGAACAGATATTTCAATTAAAAATAATTACTTTTTCTAAATATTTATAATAATTCTTAAATTAATAAAAAATATTTACAATAAATAGAAATTAGTGCACACGATAAATGAATATATATTTATTTATACATATATAAACATTTTTATTTATTTATTTACTTAAAATAATCATTGTTTAATGGAATTCAATATGGACGTTTGACATACTTCAGTAGATGCATATACTGTACACAAATTCCTTTTAAAGACAGAACTATTGTTATTGAAGAAAATTAACGTTATTAATTAAACTGTGTAAACACTGATATCAATAAACAAATTGTAATAAAAATCAAATCAAACGAATGTCATGAAATAATTAAAAAGATTTCATTATAAGATATTCATAACCTCTCTAAAATTATTCATATTTTCTTCTCTTATAAATCAATATATATATATATATATATATATATATATAACATACATAGATATATATATAATAATAATTAACAAAATGTCAACACTAGAATTAGACCCTCAATTTATACAAGGTTTAAGATTATTACATTCTACAAATAAAGATTCTGCTGAACAATTAAGAGCACTTTTAGATGAAGTAATTAAACAAAAATATGGTCCATCTAAAATGCTTTCCAACGTGCTACATAAAAAGGTATATATATATATATACATATATAGTTTATTAATGTATTTCAATTATTAAACAATAAGTTAATATTTATTTTGTAGTATATGATGGAAGAACCAGTCTTAAGTGACCACAGTAGTAGCAGCAGTAGTAAAAAAAGTAAAAGTTCTTCCAAACATTCGAGTAAATCAAGCAAGAACAGTTCGCCTGTTAATTTACCAGCACGTGATACTCCACCAGAGATTATTCAATCGGATGATACATTAGCAATGGAAATATTAGAAGATGATTTAACTTGTGTTATTTGTAAAGGAATGGATGTTGGTGCAAGAAACAGACTTGTTGAATGTGTAGAATGTCATTCTTTGTATCATCAAGAGTGTCACGTTCCACATATATTAGATTCACAAATAGACGTTCCAAAGGTCGTTTGGTATTGTTCTAATTGTACAAAAGCTCAGGTACATATCTATATATATAAACATACTATTTGTATATTAAATATACTTTTAATACATTCATTATAATTTATTGTAGACACCAAAAGAAAGAAGTTCTCCAAAGACTGTGATAGATAGTAAGTCGAAAGAACCCAAAAAATCAAATTCAAGTAAGTAAGGTAGTACATGATATTAAATACATAAAATACCATTACGCTCTATCATTTCATTTTCTTTAGGCTCGAAGCACTCAGAAAAATACAAATCATCATCACATAATGTAAATCAATCACAACCTATTAATAGAAATAGTTTTCCATCTGGCATAGGTGGTGGAACCAAGGTGGTACCCAACATTCATATCATTAGTGCAGATAAAAGATTGAAGGATATGATGAAAAAGGCTAAACAAGAGAAGCGTAGTACTAACAGCAGCTCTAGTTCCAAAAATTCATCTTCTACTGCAACTACGAGTTCTTCAGGGAAATCTTCTCAAGACAAATCTGTAATGTATAAAATCAAATCAGGAGTCGAATGAGTTGTTTTATTTTATAACAAATATATATATATATATATAATGTCTTACCTTTAATAAGGAATAGATTGACTTCATAATAAGCCAATTATCTCTGTCAATAGTTTAGTATTAAAATTATTAATAATATTTTTCTTTTTCTTTTTATTAAACAGAGTATGAAAGAATATTATGAAATTTTTTTGATATAAAAATATATATGGTCATATTAATCAAAGTTTTAATATTATAAAAAAATTAATATAATATTATATATATATTATTTATTATATTATAATAATATTATACTAATTAT